GATTCTTTTACCTTTCTCCCAGATTTGTTGTTGTGGGTTTGTTGTTACTGCTCGTTGTTTAGTGACTTTCTTGAACTAATTCTGTAAGTTATTTCTTTATTGTATGTGGGCACTGAAGTCTGTTTGGTTAACTTAGTGGTTATCAATGATTGTTCAGAGATTTCCTTAGGTTTTTTTTTTGTTTTTGTTTTTGTTTTTTGGCACTCTGTCATTTGAGCCATACCTCCAGCTCCTTAATTGCATTGAGCTAGTAAGTCTTTGAAGATTGGCTCTCAGTGTGTGTTGTGATATGCTGTCATTACTGTGGCAGGTCTTTCTACTTGTGCACAATCTCAAGGTCACCAGAAGTGATAAATTAGTGCCCTCTTGGGTCTTCCCTGAGCCTGCACATGGCCTTGCCCATGGGTATGGCCTTTTAGATTCTCAGGAAAATGTCACTGATTTAACAATTCCCTGTGGATCTCTCTTTCTCCAGCTTGTCCCTTTTACGTTTTTTGGGCAGCTTCTGTGTGCTGGTTGTGTCACTAGCTCCTTCAGCTTGCTGTATTAAATTAATAGTTGCTGATTTGTTTTGATCGTGTCCTCTGGGAAAGGATCTCACACCAGGGACGCTCTGAAAGACAGCCCTGTGATTGGGGTTACAGGAATATGCCAGACAGGTCAACTGGTAGCTGTCTGGGAGTGAAGACTTCAGGGGAGAGATCCAGACTTGTTCTGCTCCTTCCAGTGGCTGCCCATCTGCTGATTTTCAAACTACCATCTTTGTGAGGCTGAGGTTTTCATGTTACTGAGTTAGGGATAGAAACAGGACACCAGCAAACAATAAAAAGATCTTTGTTATTACCAAGTTCTGTCCCTCTTTCTTGAAGAAGTGCTCCTCATCTTGTTGTAAGCCTTTGTTTCAGCTTCTAGAGTTTTGAAAAAGCTAATTTTGCCAGTGTTTTCTTTGCTTATTTGGAGCAACAGATTTTTACTTGTCCTTATTCTGACATTTCAGGGCTCCTTTCCTGTTTGCTTTATTATTGCAATATGATTGTTTTATTTCCTCTGTCTCTTCGGAAGTATTAGCAATATAGTTTTTACACTTGTTTTCTCTTCAAAGTCTTTTGTCTTCGAAGTTGGGATTTTTGAATATGTGTTCATTTATTTTTGAGGCAAGCTCTTGCTGTGTAGCCAGGCTGGTCTTGAACTCATGATTCTTCTGACTCAACCTCCTAAATTCTGGGACTGCATGTGTGCACCACAATGCCCAGCTTATATCTTTGCTTATATATCTTGTAGTCCTTGGTGCTCGTGTTTTAAGAGTGAAGACTAAAAAGCTGACTCATCATGTGCATGGCAGTCCCCCTCATCCCTCTTGGAGTGGCTGGGGTTGTGCAGAGGGAGGCTGCCTCCCTTGGGGCCCAGGGGAGGGAAACTTCTGGAAGGTCGTCTTGGGGCCACTTGTCCATTCCCTCTTGGGGTAGAGTGGGGAGGGTTCTCTTGTTCACTGCAGGCTGCACCTGGGGAGGGGGTGGTGGTGGTGGCGTAGCAGCAGACTTAGAAGTGGCATGGACCAGAGACATTCAAACAAAGCATCGTGAAGGTCCTTGGCGGGTGTTGACGCAATGTGTTTTCTGCCCAGTGCTCTGAATGTCAAAGTGAAGAAATTCAATGAAGCGTGGGTAAACCTTAAGGTAGCCAAATGGCTTGTCAGCTAATTAGTGACACGCATGAAAGGATGGACAAGATTCTCACTGTCCCTACCTACTATCCAGCGAAACCACAAAGGAGGGAACAGGCTTGGTAGAATCACTGGGAAAGAAGACCCTGTTGAGCCTAACTCTAGTCTGGCAACGTGAAGAGACATGAGACATGTAGACTATGTGGGAGGCCCCTTCCCATCTCTCACCTGTACCTTCTACAGAGGGGACCGGCAGCACGCAGGCAGCACCTCCTGGAGTGGTTGTGGGGGCTCCAAAGTGTCTGGTTGCTCCAGATGGGCAGCTGGGGGGGGGAGACTGCCTCCACAGCCTAGCCAAGTAAAACAGAGTATAGAGGAAAAGGGTCCCGTTCTCCACACAGTCCTGTGATGTCCTCAGTGACACCTCCCCTCCCCTCCCCAAGTCACAGACGTGCAAAGCTCTGCAGCTCTCCAAGATTCTTTTCCTGGTACCCTTATCTCAGCCCAGGCCCCTGCCTCAACACCAAATAGATGAAAAAACAAATAGCTTTGGGGGGAAAAAAAACTTACTCATGTTCTGAGTGTTTGGATGGAGCTTGTTGACGGTGAGATTACTAGTATTTGCTTCTAGGGCATTATTCAAAATTTATGTTTATATTATAACATTTTCTAGGAAGGAATTAATTAGATCAAATTTTATAGTAAAATAAATGCCTTTGGGTTGAAGAATTTAATATATAAATTTGAATTCAGAAAATAGTAGTGGTTATTTCTCAAATTAGTAACTGATTTGATTATTTTTGCTGCTAGGGATTGAGCCTTGGACCTGGCACATGCTAAGCGTGCATTTTACCATGAGCTATTTTCCTAACCCCATGGAACTTGTTTTAAGTTGAGACCTAAAGATTCAAAATAAAAGAAAAACATTTGATGGCTTCACAGGAAAATCATTGTGTATTTGATATCTTTAAACATATGAAACTCACCTTTTTATACTTGTGCAAATTAACAGCTTCTAAGAGCAGCATCTTGAATTGCTTCACTCAGAGCTAGCAGACAAAAGCTAGTGCTTCCATTCCTAAAGAGTGCTTTGTTGATATGTGTTTGTAAAGCCATGTTATAGATCTCTTGAGGTGGTTTGAGCTCAAAATAAGAGAATGAGGGAGTTAGTGAGACAGAAGTACAAAAGCAGATGGAAAAGCTAACCTGCCTAAGAAAATTTGGAGTAAAGGCTTAGGTGCTACAGAAGTAACCAAGTGTTCTCATACCTGATTGTTTAGACCTGTTAGGTTGTGGATGTGGCCATAGCAAGTAGAACTCGACACTGATCGAGAACCTACAGATTGTTTCACAAATGCCATTTGTAATTAGGAATACTCTCCCAGAAATGGAAGGAATACCACCTTCCAGTATTTTCAGGGACAACTACATTAAAGGGTTACCTCTGCCCTCACTTCTAAACTTGAAGGCTTGCTCACGTCAGAGGGTGTGGTTGTGACGCAATAAAGTGGGGCCTTTGGGCATGCCCTGGCAACCCGTAGTGATATTATATATGTGCTTGCTGAGCCACTGGAGACCTTTGTTACTTTAAGGAGGAAGGTGATGGGAACATCTTAAGAAATTGATTCCAGGGCATCTTTTCAGACCTTAAAGTAACCACTGGATTTGAATGTAAGTGATTGTTTCATATCTGGTCCTGAAATGGCAATTGGATTTTTATTTCAATGTCTACTTTGATCTGTTGTAGCAATTTTGAGAAGGATTCTGAGGCTATATCTGGGCTTAGAAGGAAAGATGGCTTGAAGAGTTTGACTTCCTACCAGATGGGAAGAGAGAGAGCCACTGTATCAGGCTGTTTCATCCCCTTCATTTTGCTGATGTGTATTTTTGGTTTCATGTTACCTAGAATTTAAGTTTCAGCAGGTAGGAACCTCACACATTCAGCATCTAGCTAGCTTTGGTCTAAACATGTAATGGACACTCAGGTATTTGTTGAATAAATAGTGGTTGAATGAGCTAACCAGAATGTGTGAGATATCTAGTGTTCCAGAGTGAAGTGAGGGACAAGGTTAGGTGCCAGTTTTCTTAACACCATGATGTAACTCTCCTGAGTGATCCTCAGCACGGCACAGTGCTTGTTATAAGCACCAAAAGAATATGGAACCCCTCCTCCATCAAAGGGGTTTCCATTCTGGTTGAGAAGAAAACACAGATGTGTGTGAAATGGTGACATCTTCTGGGCAGGATGGTGTGAAGAAAGTGATAAATGACTAGTCTCATCTCAGAAATAGGTGGCATTGTTTTGAGTGCAAAATACTTTCCTTTGGAATCTCAGTGTTCATACATTCCAAGGTACTTGTGCTCTGCCTGAGAAAGCCCCCCCACACCTTTTTTTTTTTTTTTTAACTTCAAGGTAGTATTATTCCCCTACTTTTTCTCTCATTTTTGGTGTCACTAGGATGGAATATTTTGACTGACGAAGGAGTTTTGCTTCAATTTAAATGCCAAGATGAAATGATCCATTAATAGAAAATAAATGTCATGCAGATTTCTTAAGCTGAAGATGATGCAGTCACAACATTTGTTTCTAGAGATTATTTATAAATTTTGAATTAAGCATAAGCCAGAGAAAAGCCTTTGTAGTGTGAGATTAGTGCATTTTAAAAGCTTTATCCAAGGTAACTGGTGGCATTCTGCTTAGAAAGAAATAGGGAAAAATCACACTTTTTATGGTTTAGACATTTTGTAGTTAATATATCTGAGAACAGAGATTCTGGATTTCCAGTCAGAGCAAGAATCTTCCCCCCAAAATGTATTCCCTTAATAAGGTATATGATTATGATTTTCTTATCTGCACAATGGGGTGATGGTAACTTTTCAAGGAGCTGTTTGTGAAGACTAAATGAGAACTTCTAGAACTTTTTTTTGGTGGCACTAGGGTTTGAACTCAGGGCTTTGTGCTTGCAAAACAGGCACTTGCAAAGCAGTCTCTACAGCTTAAGCCACACTTCTAATGCTATGGTTATTTTGGAGGTGGGGTTTTGGGGACTCAGGCTGACCTCAAACTGCAATCCTCCCATTCTCGGCCTCCCACGTTGCTAGGATTACAGGTGTAAGCCACCAGTGCCTGGCTGGAATCTTTCAGATAGAGCATTTACACCAGCGCTGGACCCATACTAGGTGCTCAGCTATTGTGGGTTACTGTTAATGCTTTTTATGTAGTTACTACTTCTGTTACCTGGATAGTTTTTGGGGGGAGTAACTCAGCCTCATATTAGTGTTTGATAACTATGAACATTGATGGCTAATAATTTATTATATTTTTTATTTCCTGCAGATTGAATGTCATTTTTACAAAATTTGATGAAGTCCAAAAATCTGGAAACATGATACAGTCTGCAAATGGTGAGTAGAAAACTCAGACTCTATTTCTGGGTTTTTTTTTTTTTTTGCAGTTTTATGTCAGTAATGCTTATGCTATTTCTGAATAGCTAAATTAGACATTCTGGTAAGGTTTTCTAGGTCTTAATCTTCATTTGCCGAATTTCCCAGCCAGAGACTATAGAGTCACTGCTGATTTTGTTTTGTACGTTGAACCCATTTAACTAATCTGGTTGGCTTTACTTTTAAACTACATCCTGAATTTTCATCATCCCTGTTACTGTCTTCCTGTATAGGACTGATGGATTTTACCTGGGCTCTTCTGGCAGCCTCCCAACCATCCTTGCTTTCCTTCTTCATGTCTGTAATCTGTTTTCACATAACAACCAGAGTGATCCTTACAGAATGTGAATCAGGTGCTTTTAATCCCACATCTCATATCCACACGCAGACTACACTATGCTTCAGTGGCTGATGGCCTGGTAGGCACTTGGTGATCTATGTGGACTCTACTGTGGTGTCATCCTTATTGTTCTTTCTGAAAGTTCTCTCTGTTCCTGCCACATTGGCCTGCCTGCTGATCTTGATCATTTGAATATCTCTGTGCTACAATCCCTTCTTGAGTTTTACTGACATGAAAAGTATGACTTAAACCTCAGGAATACTAAAGTCATGTTTTCTACTGTTCTCTTTTTTCTTCCCCCTGGACAGTGTTAAATAGCATTTTAAATATTCCGTGCATTGTCTTTTCCAGATTAGTTTGTGAGATTTTCATTTTCTCAAAGTCTGAGCAGGTTGAGCCTTGGTGGTAGATATAACCTGAAGCCACACTCTGAAGGCATGCCCCTGGGTGGTGGCTTCAAAGGTGTACTGACTTCCTTCTTTTGTAACTTCTTTATGTGGAAAATCTCAAGCACATAGCAAAGTGGATAGAGAGTAGGCTAATAAGCCCCACATAGTCCTCATCCAGCTACAACAGTTACCAGTATGATGATTAGTACGTGGCCAGCGTTGTTTTATCTCTGCCCATCAGAAATGACAGGTGTACCACTGATGGGCAGTTGTCACCACCACCTTATCAGAGTCAGGGTCAAGAAATGACCAATTTTCTCCATTTTTAAGTAGAAGCATAAAAATAGAAAATGAGCATCAACACTAGAACAGGTATGTTTTTCTATGGAATTTTGCAAGCACTCACCTCCTAAAAGGCCCACACCATTGTCACTGTCATCTAAGAACACAGGAAAAAATTAACAATTTACAATTCTCATTTGTTTCTGAAGAGCAGGAAATGACATGATTACATTAATTATATGGTGATGAGGGTGGGCTACGGCCTCAGTACCACAAAGGGGTTTTTAACCAAGGTTCTTTCTGACATATGCATGCTGCAGCCGAGTTCTGACTCCTGTCTTCAAACCAACCCTGTCATTTAGTATTTTTATTTGAGCAGCATATGTACAAAATACATATTGTCAGAATCCTCTTATAATTTCATTTATTTACAAAAACAGGACAGCAAAAAATCTTAGGTTGCTAATATTGCAGAGAAACAAAAGCAGTTGTAAAGGTTTGCATCTTACAGTGCTAGAGACTGTTCACCCATTGTGGAAGAACATCTCCATCTAACCAAAGTGATAAGCACTGGGCTAAATCTGTCTCTAAACTGGCAAACTGGTTTCTGTAACTATAACTACCAGATCTGATTCTCAAAAGAAGCAGAAGTTAAGCTTATAATCTGGGTGGCTTTCCATAATGGTGAAGGGCTTTCTTCCCTAAACAGGGAGAGGAGATGTCTTAACTCTAATAACACTATTAAAATGTCCATAAATGACAATTAGTTATAGTATTAGATAAAACTGTTTTTTTTCCTTTTTACAAAAAATATCTACAATAGTCTTTCAGAAATTCAGTTGGTACAAAAATTATCTTTCATTTGAATGTTTATAATTTAAATCATGGTTTCTTTTAATAGATAAAGTAATTCATAATTTTAGTGTTCAGTGAACACTAAATGATTAATCCGTATGTTGATACAGTAAATCTAAATAGAATGGTGGTTTGTGTTTTGTGACACTGTAAACAGGAATTATTACTAAGATTTAAAAGCTTGAGTTACTATAACATGAGAATATCAAATGTATGTCAATAACTTGAAAAGGCAACTATCAGCTGTTTTGGAAAGTAAATTTCAATGTGTACCTTTTAAAATTTATTTTAAAGTGTTTTTACTACTTCTATCCGTTGCTCTTAAGGTTTTATACCATTTGTACCAGAACCCACTGGAACCTCTGCCCCTCTCCACGATGGCAGCACTTGTTAACTGTCTCTCCTTTTTGCTCTCCTTTTAAGAGCTTGAACATGATGGTCCCTTGCCTTCCTTTTCTTAGCTACCTCTGTGAACCCTTCCAAAGACAGCCCAGTTCCATGCTCTGCCCCCAGCCCTGTCTCCCACCCAGTGTCAGATCCCTTGGGTAACATCTCCAGGGACCTTCTCTTTTGCTGCTTGGCTTTGATCATAATTTGGAAGGTTGCATTTAGTGATTTTTTGACTCATACCTATCTCCAGTATGGGACTGTAAACTCCCTGAGGCAGGTATAGTGTGTCTGTTTTTGCTGATCCTAGGACCTGAACATCTCAGTTTGTCTTGTTAGTCCTGCTGAGCTCTCTCTGATTGGTTCATTTGATGGAAATTCTTCTTTGCCTCTTAGTAATCTTAGTTCATATAAGAACACTGTATCTTTGGCAACCAGATTTTTTTTTTTAACTTCTAGTTTTTGCCATGGATTCTTATGGGGAATGCTGCATGTGAGTGTTGGCTGAGGAAGAACTGAGTAAAAACAAGAAGGGAATGAATTGCAGCATGGGGTCCCTTCCAGGGTCCTAAACAGCCTTTGGGGCCAAGATTTTGATCACTTTAAGGCCACCATATCAATTGGCACCACCTAGAAAACAGGTGCTTTCTAGGCTGACCCAAGAAGGTGACTTTTCAGTGATCTGTATATTTCAAACTCCCACTTACCAAAATTTAGCAACCTGGACTCAGCATAAGGACTTGACAGCTATTCATTTAGTGAGTGGTGACTATGATTAGCAAACATTATAGTTGTTCTTTTGGGAGTGTGCTTGTCCACTTTTCTCCACATGGAGTGTAGACATAGTGTTAGGGAGAAGCTAGATAACCATTGAAAATGAGTGAACATCCTTTCCCTTTAGGAAAGGCTGCTGTGCTGCACTCTACCACTCTGTAGCCAAGTGACTTTGGACAAGTGACTTAACTCTACTAAGCCACTATTTGTCCATTTGTAAAATAGAGGACTCTGCAGATATGTATTGAGTAAGTAACATCAGATGTAAAATGATCTTAGAATGTCTGGGATGTAGTGCTTAGAGTGATTGGTTTCTCCTCCAGTTGCTCCATTTTGGAGGTATATTCTCTTTTCAAGTTAAAAACACATTTGAGAGTAAATTTATACCTTTGGGTAACGATTTGAAATTAATATACATTTTCTTTAAATTGGTAATAATGTTTCTTTGCAAAAACTGCCTTCTTGAGATATAATGTACATGCCATATAAATTATTCACCTAATTCAGGTGAGTAATTCAGTCACTTTATTATATTCACAGATTCTTAGAACTGTTCTCCCATTGATATACACTTAGATTCTTTCTACCTTTTCTAAGTAGTGCTGCTGTGAACACAAGTTTGTGTTTGAACACCTATTTTCAGTTCTTTAAGCATATAGTGTTTATCTAGGTGTAGAATTGCTGGGTTATAAGGTAACTGCTTAATTTAGAGAGAAGCCAGCAAATTTTTCCACTGTGTGACTGTATGTTCTCATCAGCAACTCTACTTTCTGATAACACTTGCTGTTTTCTTTTTCTAAAAAAATTATTTATTTATTATTATTATAGACATCCTAGAGGGTAAAGTGGTATATTATTGTGATTTTGATCAACATTTCCCTAATGACTAATGGTGTTTGGCATATATTCATGTGCTTGCTGGGCTTTTGTAGATCTTCCTTGGAAAAATCTTTATTCAAGTCCTTTGTCCATTTTTAAACTTTTTAAATTTTTTTTTGGACCGTGCTGGGAATTAAACCAGGCCCTTGCACATGTTCAGTAAGAGATCTACCATTGAGCTACATCTCCAGCCCCAGTTACTTGTCTTTCTGTTGTTCTGTACAAATTCTTCAAATTTCCTGGATGTAAGACACTTAGTAGATACATGATTTGCAAATATTTTTTTTCCATTCTGTGCATTGTCTTCTCACTTTCTGTATAGTGTATTTTTTTGGTGTACAAAAGTTTTCAATTTCGAAGGAATCCAATTTATCTTTTTTCATTTATTAACTTATGAACAATAATGCTCTGTTGAGTCAGAAATAAATGCTCTGGGTTTGTGCTAAGTTGAAAGAAGCAATTAATACAACGGTAATACTCTTAAGGAATAAATAGGTTTCATCCTGAGTTGTATTTCTTGATATGTTCAAAATTATGTTCTATGATGCTTGGTTGATACTTTTTACATTGAAACCTATGGACTTATTTTTTTTGACATGTAATAGAATTGTGACTGAAAAACAGCAATGAAAAAGCAGCAAAGTAACAATGTAAAATGGGCTCCCTATCTGAAACAGAATACTTCATCTTTATATGAATCCTCCTTGTTGCTAGGTTACCCACAAGGCCTTTCAGTTTGAATGGCAAGAATATGGCAGTTAAAAATATGTTGTTGTGTAGATGTTTCTTTTTCTTTTTCCCATCTCCATATAATTAGCAAACCCCTTGAAGCAGAAATTACAGTTTTTCCATGGGTTTCAAAAAGCAAATTATTTTCTATGTAAGTTTTTTTAATCACGCAGATGTGCTTATACTCATGGGAAAATTGGATTTTCAGTGTGAAAGTACCACTAATTATGGACTAGTCAGCGTCCTTTATGTGCAACCACTTACTGATTTTTAATTGTGTCTGACTGAAGTGAGGCCATGGACATTTAATGTGGTTAAAAACACAT